TGCATACCCATTAGATTTGCTTCCGCCTCTCTTTTTGAACCTCGAAATTCTCTTTCAATTTGTTGATTTCTTCTTCTGAGCGGTAATTGTGGGGATATCGGTGTTGATCAGGAGCGTAGGGTTTGTTTCTCCTTTGATTCAGATCTCCTTCTGCTTCTTTTGAGGGGGTAGCCGGGGCTCCGGCCTCGGCGGGTTGTAAAGCCCCCTACCTTTACAAACCTTGCCAAATTCGACCCTTACAATTCTTTGATTCTTTCATTTTAACCCCCTTACAAGCAGATCGGGGAAGAGATGCCGGCCCTAGCGTTTTGTGTTGACGCCGCCATGGCCGCTCTTTCTCCTCCTTCCGGCTATACCGCCTGGGATAGCTCTCTTCCCGCGCCGGAGACATTCTCCGGCGTACCTCCAACGACAAACACCGTTCTGGATGATGTATCTGTATCATCCCTCACTCCTTGGACGTCATCCCACTCTAATGCTCTCTACAAGATTGACGCATGGGGAGCGCCTTACTTCTCCGTCAACACATCCGGTAACGTCACCGTCCGTCCACACGGTTCCCGAACCATGGACCACCAGGAGATAGATCTCCTCAAGGTCGTGAAGAAGGCCTCCGACTCCAAATCCATAGGAGGCCTAGACCTCCCGCTCCCTCTCATCATCCGGTTTCCAGACGTCCTGAAGGACCGCCTTGAATGTCTCCAATCGGCGTTCAATTACGCCGTTAAATCACAAGGGTACAGCTCCCATTACCAAGGCGTTTATCCCGTGAAATGCAACCAGGACCGATTCGTCGTCGAGGACATTGTCAAATTTGGATCCTCGTTCAGGTTCGGGTTGGAAGCTGGATCCAAACCTGAGCTTCTTATGGCCATGAGCTGCCTCTGCAAAGGTAGCTCCGAATCCCTCCTGATTTGCAATGGTTTTAAAGACGCGGAATATATCTCGCTAGCTTTGATAGCTCGAAAGCTTTCATTAAACACCGTGATTGTTCTCGAACAAGAGGAGGAGCTGGATTCTGTAATTGATATAAGCATAAAGCTAGGCGTTCGTCCCGTCGTCGGGGTCCGTGCTAAGCTACGGACTAAACATTCCGGCCATTTTGGATCGACTTCCGGCGAAAAGGGCAAATTTGGTCTCACTACGACCCAAATTCTCCGTGTTGTGAAAAAGCTTGAACAATGTGGCATGTTGGATTGCTTCCAATTGCTCCATTTCCACATCGGTTCTCAGATCCCATCGACATCCTTGCTTGCTGATGGCGTAGGTGAAGCCGCCCAGATTTACAGCGAATTAGTCCGCCTTGGTGCTTCCATGAAAGTTATCGACATAGGTGGTGGGCTTGGGATTGACTACGATGGTTCAAAATCCACTAATTCTGATGTCTCCGTTGCTTATACTTTAGAAGAATACGCAATGGCGGTTGTTCAGGCAGTAAAATTCGTTTGTGACCGGAATTCCGTGAAGCATCCTGTGATTTGCAGCGAAAGTGGCCGTGCCATCGTCTCCCACCATTCAATTCTGATATTCGAGGCAGTTTCGTCTAGCAACTATACAGTTCCAACCATGTCCTCTCACGACGTCCAGCATTTCATCGAGCAGCTCCCTGGGGACGCTCATTCCGACTACAATAATCTGTCCCAGTCTGCCGTGAGAGGCGAGTACGATGCTTGTTTGGCTTACTCCGATCAATTAAAGCAGACATGCGTCGAGAAATTCAAAGATGGATCAATGGACATCGAACAGTTGGCTGCTATTGATGGGTTCTGTGATTTGGTTGCGAAGGCAATTGGAGTATCCAATCCTGTAAGCACTTATCATGTCAATCTTTCTGTGTTCACTTCAATTCCTGATTTCTGGGGCATCGGACAACTCTTCCCTATCCTTCCAATCCACCGACTTTCCGATTGCCCATCAAAAAAGGGGATTCTATCAGATCTAACTTGCGACAGTGATGGAAAGATTGATAAATTCATCGGAGGTGAATCCAGCTTACCCCTCCATGAATTAGAAGGAGAGAATGGAATGAAGTACTATCTGGGTATGTTCTTAGGAGGGGCATACCAGGAGGCTATGGGGGGTGTCCACAATCTATTCGGTGGCCCTAGTGTGATTCGTGTATCTCAAAGTGATGGTCCTTTCGGGTTTGCTGTTACTAGAGCTGTCCCAGGGACGTCTTGCAGTGATGTTCTTCGTTCAATGCATCATGAACCAGAGATGATGTTTGAAACCCTTAAACACAGAATCGAAGAGTATGTTCATGAAGAAGGTGATACGATTGCAGGTGGCATTGCTCAGTCTTTCCACAACATGCCTTATCTAAGTGTCGGATCTTCTTGCTGTTTAACTGCTGCAAGTGGCAATAAGGGGTACTATTACTGTTCTGATGAGGATTTCACCACTGGAGGCGAGGTGGTTTCCGGTGAGGATGATGATCAGTGGTCATATGTGGGTGCGTAATCGTGATGAGTGGTGTTTGTCAGTGAGGTCGTTCTGTTTCTGTTTCTGCAAACTTTATTTGTTTTTCTTGTTTTTAGTTAATTAAAGTAGAGAGTTATCTTTAATTTGGGTCTGCTCTCTTTTTATCCGTTAACAAGATTTAAAAAGAGAGCTGGTGATCTTTCTGATAAATTTGTGAAGATAAAGAGTTGGGGGGTTTTTTATGTAGCCCGATTTGTTAATTCCCCTTCTCTTTCTTCACCTCCTTGTAGTCTATTATTATTCTCTATGGTAATAATACAAACAAGTTCTTCTTCTTTTGCTTATGTTGTTTATTTTTTAATAAACGGATTCTTATGAATTCTTCCTTGCAGAGCCATATTATATACATACACATGGTCAGGCTTTTTATGTTTGATGGAAGGTATGTTTTCTTGTCTTTTTATGATTAGCAAGCATAAATAAAGCATACGATATATATTGTTGAAAGATTTGAATATGTTGCGTCTGTTTTGACCTCTTATCTTAATATGCAATTGGTACCAACCATGTGAAGAAAGAAGATTCGTGGAAAGTGACCATTGATTCCCATTTCCTATATTTACACAAGTGGTTTTCATTACTTGATTGTCGTGTAACCCTCCATTTGGCTAAAGTTAATTTGTTGGAAAATCTTGTGATCTCTTTTGGTGGCTGCTTGGAACCTATACCAATACCCCACACACACATATATATCATTATCTATACCAATTGCCGACTTAATTAGCGTGTTAAGGGTCAAACTTTAGTACTACCTTTAACAACAAAAAAGACCCAAGGGTTTTTTCTTTTTCCCCAATTAATTAAGTTTGTATCATACAAGACTAAATGACAATTTTGCCTTTACATTCCGACAAAGTAAGAGAGTTTTGAGGAAAAAAGAAAAAGGCCAAACAGGTAAAGTGACTCGGTAGGTGATTAAATCTGGATTACGTAAAAGGAAACATCCATTTAAGTTATTGGTCTATTGGGTAAAAATAAAACAGCCCTAAAACCAAAACGCATAGATTTAACTTTTTTTTTTTTTTTTTAAAAATAATAATAATAATAATGAAGGAAACAAAGAAGAAATGATGAAGAAGCGAAGGTTTGCAATGGCAGAAATGGAGATGGTGAAGGGGAAAAGTCAAGAAACGGTAAAATGAGGTGTTGAATAGAGGATTATAGGCATAGGGCGTCCCATTATATGGATATTCGTGTCATGTGTGTGTTCAAAATTTAGGATACGCGTTAGAAGATGCATCTAGGGGATCTTGGAATATACAGAAAAGGAAAAGGAAAAGGGATTTAGCATAAGGCATATAATGTGAGGTGAGCCACAAAATATGTGGTCCTAACATGATGAGAGTATTCTCTTTTGGTGTGGTGTGGTGGGCCAAAGTTAAAATTTTGAGTTATAGAATAGTATTTTGTTTTGGGGTTTAGTGAGTCATGATGGGTCTGCTAGGATATGTTCAACATTCGTGTTTGTTAAAAGCAGATGTGGCAACAGGGAAATGAGTGTGTGTTTGGCTGTTTGCTATACTACACAACAAACGGACTCAACTTGCAACTTCCATCTTTGCATCCGGACCTTTCATGCATCCAAACATCAAATTCAAAATTAAACAAATAGGCTACCTAGATTTGCTTTTCTAATCATCTTTATTTCCTAATGATAAAAGGGTCCCACGCTCAACATGGGGCAAATTACCAGATTCTCACCACAACCAAATGCATCATGACCTACATACTCGTATGCTTATTGGTCATGAGAATTCAGAGGGGTCTTTGTCCTTAGCTCTTGGGATGTATTGTCGGATTGTACCCTACAACTCACCATTGCATGCATGGGCATATTCTTTCCTTTGAAGTAGTCACTATTGAGCCTTCCTTTAGGCCTCTTGCCGGATTCTTCTGATTGTTATCATGTAGATAAGATGGAATATGTTGCCTCCAATCCTATCTAATAATGACTTAACTTGTATGATAAAATTTGTATTTTTGCTTTATCCCTTATAAATTTGACTTACTTTGGAGTCGATGCAATCCATACCCAAAAAAAAAGACATACTTAAGCATGAAAATGTTACGTCTAAATTTTTACAAAGTATGTGTTTATTTAGTTTGCAAGATTTACAAATTGATGAAATAAAGCTAACCAACCATCTACTGATTTTTTTTTTTTTTTTTTATGTTTTTGTAAACAAGATCTATGGAATGGATAAAGAGAGGAAGCTTGGAATGGAGGCCAATAATGCTCATAATTGGGGAAGACAAGACAAAGGGAGGGGAGTTTGTGTTGAAACTGCGTATGGATCATATGTTAAGCTATGTTACTTGTAACATTAATCCTAATCATTTTTTAAACTTCATAAGCAAATGAAACGAGGATTAATATCATAAATCTTGTATTTGTATACCAACAAAAAATCAATATTTGTATACCTGATTTCATGCTATCTATCTTTTGTACGATATGAAACAATTCTTCCTACTTTGCCAGTAAGGTGTACCAATTCACAGGAAAGAAAAGATAAACTGCTAGATGTACTTGGTGTATTTGTATTTAATTACATACTCAAATATGGATTATATGTATCAATTTTGATCATTTTTCTCTAAATTAATACAAATTCTGATAACAACGAACAAAGAAATCCAATAGAAAAACTACATTCCAACTTCATAAGAAAATCTACCAATTTATGAATAAAAAAAATCCACTTCAATGCATATAATTGGTATAAGAACTAAAAACATCACCTATGAAGAATAGTTCCATATTGCAGAGAAGATATGCACTCAATCTATTTCGTTGCTTATTTTCTATCTATATAATTAATGAAAGATCAAGGGGCATTTACATGGAAAAGAAATAAAGTTTGTATTTTGAAAAATCAGCATCATCAACTTATTCATAATAATGATAATAGACAAGTATGAAAGTCGTGCATAAAAGTTCCCCCAAAAGAAAAAGAAATATTGCAAAAAAGCCATGAAATGAAAGGAGAAAGTTTTCATCAACATTCATGCCCCAATCAAAACACATTCATTAAAACAATTCATACCAATGTCTGTCTTTGATGACAAAAAGTCACACAAAACACTTGCTAAACAAACCACCTGCCAACAACAAAATACACTATTTAACAAAACAATAATAATAATAATAATAATAATAATAATAATAATAATAATAATAATAAGCCACTCGACTATTATTATAACAATCATAATGGGAATTAACCTTGATTTATTGCCATGGAGCCATATTAGATTCAAATGTGATCCTCTCGACCATAATCATACACAATCTCAATCTACAATAACCACAAAAATGAACAACATAAGCATAAAGACACATACAAAATTACATGCAAAATCATAAAAGAAGCAGAAGATTATATTATTACCCCAGAAGGTGGTGTAGGGTTGCGAGTAAACTTGCTGCCACCAGGAGCCCATGGAACTGTAAAAAAATTGGAATGAGATAAAAAGAAAAATGAGAAAAGAAGTGACATTTGCAATTTTTCATATATATAAATTTGGTTTTAATCCAGTTAAAATATAAAACTTAGATTTTCCTGTGGCTTACCAATGTAAGGATCAGGGTGTCGCCACTTATTGTACTGTGCCTCACCATCTGCAATCATTCTATCAATTGTTTCAATATCTTCCTGCAAACACACACACACAGTGCATATCAGATGATTACCACAATTCTAATTTGAGCATTTGTAGCCACAACTCAAGCAGGAACATTTTAACCACAAACACATAAACATAGGGGAAACTTTGAACTGCAAGTGCAATGGATCTTTGAACATACAACTAAGAGAATCCATTATTTTATATTTGCTTTCAAGAGGAAATTTGTGAAGCAAGGAACTACTGCTTTTTTCAATATACAACTCTAGATCACACTAAAATCATGACCCTGGTGTTAATCATTATAGCCACAAATGGAATATTTCAGCACAATACAACATCCATACAGGTAAAGAACTAATGAGATACACTTTCAACGACCTATTCCAAGAGTGATTTGATACAGTTGCAAACTAACATTCATTCTTGCTCTAATACCAAATAAAAGGAATGCATTTTCCAAGAATGAGTGGTTTTGTAAACATGTTGGATGTAAATGCAAAAGACTCACTAGCTCTAGCTAACATTTTTGCTCTTTTTTGGAATATTAGGGTTTTATGAGAACGAGAGCAAAGAAACATCGTTGGCTAATTCGATAACTCAAATTCAAACAAAAAAGGGGAAATTTAAAGTATAACAAGAGGCAGGAGAAACGAACCACGTTCTTGTTCGCATCGAATCTCTCACGAAGTGCATCGGCCTGAAAAAATTCATAATCTGAATGATTAAACCAAATCAAAGACATACATGATGAAAATCAAAACGAATCTAAAAGTTGAAAACCCTAAGAGATTGAAGGGAAAATACATCGGGGTAAAAGAGATGGCGGTGAACGGCCCAATTGAGAGTGTCTTTGAGGGCACGTCTGTAGAGGATTCTGACTTTCTCCCTCTGCGCTGCCCTCCTCGCCAGATACGACGCTGCTCCGCTCATCACTGGTTCTCTCACACAAAAACACACACACACACGATTTGCGTCTCCACTGTGTGTTTATACGACCGGAGGCGCAAACCAGATCACAGATACGTCGCCGTTTTACCTAATACATGGTCAAGGGCATTTAAGTCATCCAATAAATCATTATTTTTCAAAATTCCTACCTTAACATCTCATGTCTAACCCGATTCGTTTAATAATCCTACTGTATCATGTCGATCTATTTATTTTCGGGTTAAGATTAGACCTTGAAATGTGTTATTATCATATGAGGTTGAAACACAAAACATGTTGAAAGAGTAAGAATTAATCAATCGGAAAGAAAAAAATAAAAAACTGAAAAAATTAGTAGTTGAGAGGTGGAACAACTAAATTACCAATAAGTTTATAGGGCAAAATGAAAAGAATAGGAGTTGGAGAGGCAAAGACATTATTACAAGGAGCAAAAAGTGGTCGAGATGATTATATAGTTCGGAAAAATGGAAATCACGAAAAACTGAAAATGAAAGTCACGTTACAAATGACTTAAAACAAAGTTTTTTCTTGTACTTATGATATTGGTTTTGGTTCTTTCTACTTTACCTAAAACATTCAAAAAAAAACTTGCATATAAATAAACATATCATTTTGGAGTCACGTTACTCGTGTTGCATCCATATTCCATTATATATGAGATGTGGAAATTACTTGTTCTTTGGCTTAGAAATTATCTTTAAGTAAAGTGTCGATCATAAATAACTTGGATAAAAGAGGGATCAAATTTGATTTACTTGTCCGACATGATACGGATTATCATTTTTTGCGATAATCAAAGTGAGACAGACGATCAATTTTTGCACAACTGACTCTCTATTTCGTATTGAAAAACTTGGGCAGACAAGTGAAAGTCACTTCCATGCAAATAAGAAGTTTGGGTGTGATTATCTTGATAAACTACTTGTTTGCTTTAGCGTTTTTGTAACAATATGGTTTTTGGAGCGATTAAACATAGAAAAGCATATCCTTTTCATAAGATTGTTGCATAATCGTTCTTTTGTATTACTATTAGAAGCTCCAATCTGATTGAGTTATTTGGTTGCATTGTATTGTAATGACTTTTTTTCTAACATCTTGCTAGTTTAACATATTTTTGGGCTTCCAAAAAAATTACAAGACATACATCAATGCTCAAACATCCTGGACATATGTCTTTGAATTGATTATTATAAATTAAAGAAAAAACCAAATTATAAACTCATGATCAGCTTTTGCCCTCAATTTTACCTTGAAGTTCTACCATCATTAACCATTTAATATAAGATAGATAGAACAGAAGTGATAAAGAATAAGAAACACAAATATTTGCATAAATATGAAACATATGATACTTTAAGTAGCTAACATTTGGTCTAAAACTAATAAACAAACAACACATTTTACTTCAAGGAAAGATTTGCAATGCTCTCAACAAGACTATCAAGTGACTCTATTTTTAAACTTTTCATTCTCGGCTCTCTAGTAGTAGCATCATTCTCAGAAAGAGCCTCCTTCAACTCTTTAACAAGTTCATCTTCTTCAACCGGAATATCCAATTCCCAAACCTTAAAAATATCCTCCGATTCCGGTTCCATCACTAATTCTGACAACCGGAAACCCAAATCGGAATCGGAACCGGAATCAGAATCAGAATACTCAATCTTCATCATCTCATCATTAAAATTCGGAAGAAAAGGATGATTTAATGGGGATAAAACATCACAGCTTTCATTCCCAGAATCCCCGTTGGCATCTGTTACTTCCTCTGTTGGAGAAGGTGATTTCTCGGGGTCAATTATGTCATTTGAGTTGTCTAGTTCTAGTTCATTTTCATAAGGGCTGAAGATCTCAGAATGATGATCAAGAATACTGAGTAAAGCTTCTTTTAGAGAATCAATATTAGTTTTTGATATTTCAGGATCTTCAATCAGACACGAGTTCACCCAAGCTAAATCTTCAGCAGAGAGTTCATCTTTGGAGTCAACATTTTGTAGACCAAGGGTAGTTTCGTCATTATCCTCCATAACCAGGAGTAAAAACTAGCCTTATGAGGGATAATAGTATCGTTTCTGACATGATAATCAATAAAGCCAATCTTGTTAAATAGCAATATTAGTACAACTGTACAAATATAGCATCTGAATCTTAATTCTTATATGTTTCCATAATCTGAAAATAATTCTATCATGTCCATTTATATGAGTTGTCCTTAGCCTCTTAGGTGATTAAGCACTATAAAGACACTCAACTTTGTTGCTCATTAATCACTTGTTAGAACAATGATGCTGATTAACTAGATAAAGTTAATTAGTAAATGAAAACTAAGAATCATATCTGTCACATATACTTCAATAATATCAAGTTCATATCCTAAATAGGTGAATGGCCACTGAACAATTTACATATTTTAAACAATGACATTGTCAATGTTCTTAGATTTATTATTTATACTCCATCTGATCCAAACAAAAGAACAATCTATCTTCAATGAAGTTTTCGAACTTCAAAACCTAATCGTTTTCGTGGTTTGCTGCTTCAGACACTGTCGTGTTCTTCATATATCTCAGACAAAATTATGATCGAATCTAATTTCAGATTTAGATGTTTCATAAGTACCTTTTGAAAATTCTCAATCGTGAATAGAAATCATATAATTATGAAGCACAGGCACGTACGTTAAACCGAAGAGGGTAGAGAAAAAAGTTACCGTTTGGCGTCGGAGGAGAGAAGAACAGATCAATCACCAAGACAACTGAAAGCAGAGGTTGGAGAAGATGATTGAAATTGCGAAGTGAATCCTCAAAATGACTTGAAAAAGATTAGGGTTTTGGCTAAAATTCTGCAGTAAAATTAAGATTGGAAATTAAAAAAAAAAATGGATGATAAAAATTAATTCCGTTGCCGGGACTTGAACCCGGGTCTCTCGGGTGAGAGCCGAGTATCCTAACCAACTAGACTACAACGGATTTTGTTTATAAAGGAGCAACAAATACTTAATAATATGTAGTTTCTTTTACATGAATCACATAGCTTTCACTAAAATTAACCAACCATATTTGATAACTTAATTTAAGTGAGCTTTTAAAAAAACCAAATGAACAAACAAATTTTTTTATTCATCAATTACATTGTTCATGTTCGTTATTTATGTTCGTAAATATGCTAAACGAGATAACCTATTGACACATGTTCAAATCCTGGCACCACTCAGCCTTTGTGGCCATGGAGGTTCGTCTGTAGTGACTTCAGGGCATGAGGCAAAGCTTTATGTTTGCAGCGGGGGATTAGTCGGTGTGCGAAAGCTGACCCGAAAACCCTCGTTACGGAAGTTCCATTTCCAAAAAAAAAATATGCTAAACGAACAAAACTAAACACAATTTGACATATGTAAACGTAAATAAACTTAAACGAACGTTCATGAACATAAATGAACGAACAAAATTATTATTCGTGTTCGTTCGTTTAATTAAACGAACAAGAATTTGAATTCATATTCTTTCACTTATTAAGTAAACAAACATAAACTAATTTCCCATCGAACGGTTTATGAAAGATTCGCTGAAAGTTTGTTTTGTTTACAGCTCTAGTAATTAATGTTACAATAACGGTAATTGAGTTGATAAAGTTAGATATTGTTTTCTTATAGAAAGAATTTCTATGATTTCTATAGAACAAAAATAAAAATAGTCTTTAGAATCTTTTTCTAATTAAAAATGTATATCTTAAAAGTTTAGAAAACATGATGAGTAAGGATAATATGAGAATTTAATTTAAGTTTTCCTTTCATGATAAAACCTTTGCCAAAAATATTACATCCAAAATTGATATCTTTCATATGAATGAAAATACTCAAAAATATGATTTTTGTTGAAAACACTGATAAAACCTTTTATTGGCAAGAAATATAGCGACAGCATAATTATCTTTATGTGGTACATCTTAATTCAAGTGTATGTAAGTGTATATAAATGAGTAGGTTATAATATTTATATTTTATGGTTAATAAAATAAAATAAAATATAGACTTTAAAAAAAAAACATAATCATTAATCATAGATATGTTATTTATGTATAATGTTTGATATTTTGTCTCTTAACTATAATTGTATCATAATTATTTTAAATTAATAAATAAAATGGTTTGAAATATAAGCAATGTTGTTCCAACCAAGATTGATGATAAAGTGGTCAGTAGAATGAAAACATAAATTTAATAGATCAATCTATCATTTAAAGAACATTGCTCATATTTCAAATAATTTATGTTTTAATAACATATTTCTTATTTCAGTAAAAAAAATAACATTTTGTTGGTAAGATTTATAATCATCTCATTTGTTTTTTCAAACACTTTTTAAGTATAAAGCTATAGATTATGTGGTTGTTAAAAATGATGCAATAAAAATCACTATAAGAAGTACGAGATTTTGTAAATACATTAGTGTTCATACATTTATCATATGGAATAAAAATCATTGTATATCTCTCGTTTTATATATATATATATATATATATATATATATATATATATATATATATATATATATATATATATATATATATTAATTGTAAAGTCCCTTAGGGAACAGTTCTTTGGTCTTACTGGTTGTTTTTTTTTTTGTGTGTGTTTTTTATGTGGTTTGTGAATTTAATTATTTACTAATTAATTCATTGCTTCCCCGACTCGGTAGGCCAATTACATTACGATTGGTGTCATGCCTTCTTCCAAGAATCACCGCTTGGTGTCATGGTTTCTTCCGAGAATCACCGCTTCTCTTAGCTTCTGATTAAATCCTAAATCCGTCTTTTACACATCCAATTTCTTTCCCAGTCGTTTGTGTTTTCTTCTGTTTAGATCCATTCCTCCAAATTTTGCCTTTCATTTCACTTCTTTCATTGTGCTTCTCTTTGCTTCAATTGCCAGCGTCTCCACCACTATCACCACCCTTTCGATTCGGGAAACAACAACATTGGATGTGGGAGGACCAGCGGTCGATTAGAGAGGAACAATGGTAGGAGGGTAAGGGAAAGTCTCTATTGGAGAAAATCAACCCTCTTAAACTTCAAATTGATCAGATACGTTTACTGTTTACCTGATTTTTTTCATGTTTCAAGTTGAAAAACATGTATCACATGGGACATAATCGATTCGTCTATTTTGTTGTCAGGTCACGGGAATAAAA